ATACTTATATATATATATATATATATATATATTTTTACGTAAAGTTTAGGGTGGTTTATTCCAGAATTATTTAAATGTATTCTGAATGTTAAAAAGTTATTCAAATGTAAGCAGTTCATTTCATTTATTAAATTTAAATGCAGGTCCTGTATTTCTAAGTAATTTTGTCAAATGCAGAGCTGATTGTGTGCACTAATTCATCTAACATGAGATGATTCACCCTTGATATGACTGAGCAGTTGTTCGGGGCTCATTTAAATATAAATTGTGCCTGGTGCCAATGTGACAAAATGATTTGGCTGGAGGCTCCTTGCCAAAGTCAGGGCAGTGCAGGGCGAGGAGGGTTGCAGTTTTGCAGTATGATCAAATGACATTTAACAAAACATTTCAGCTCTCAATTTCATGTTTAGCAAGCTCTTTTTGGTTTTAACTCAATCTGTGTTTTGTCTGTGTGTCCCACCATCTGAATTGCAAATGAGTCCTTTTCACTGGTGCATGGAGGCATTCTTCTCTAGTGTGGCCCCTGGAGCCTCACAATGAGGATGAGCCTTACTAATGGACTGTAGTGTCTGTCTATGAGCTACCTGCTCAAGCGCTAAAAGTCCGCACAGCAAAGCCTTTTGATTGAATAGATTACATGGCTGCTTCCAAACTGACTGCGACAAAAATTCCCATTATGGCCCCAGACGGCCCGTAATCACATATTCTGTCACGGATCTTTAATGGACTCCCCAGAGTGCTCTATTTATGCAAGCGTGTGTTGTATGGTAAATTGAGTGATAGTTGTGTGTATTGTGTGAATGTAAGCTGATGCTATCTGGTGGTCTCATGTCCTTGCAGCCTCAGCATACCAATGTGTGTTTCTGGTACCTTCCACCGGGCGTACGCTACCTGGAGGACAAAGTGGAGAAAATGAAGCGTCTGCACAAGGTGAGAAAAACTGGATTCGATCAGTTGATGTGAACCGAGCGTTGACATTTCAGAAGATGACATATTGCTTTTGCAGCAGTGGTACAATGAAAGAGTAACAAAAGAAAATGAACTTGAAAGCCCCTAGGGATCTTTTAATAACACAAAAACATATTTAACATTGAAAAATCAGGTTGATATTTCACGATGTTATCTTATGAAAATGGATTATGCAAACGAACAAACAATCCTCCATTAAGCTATTGATGAGATACCATATGTAAAGCATACATACGATGTTATGAATTTATGCAGAATTTCCAAATGCTAAGAAACTCTAAATAGTTGCATACAGTAAGTGATACAGAAGGGTTACAGTTTAAATCATGTTCATCCATTTGATTTATCTCTTACATGTGTTGATTTTGTTTAGGCCAGATGAACGTCCGCTTTGAAAAAGAAGTGTGTTAAATGCACTCTTGTAGTGTGCTTGTTAATTTGAGTAATAATTATGTTTTAATCATCTTTTTGTAATTATTTTAAGACATACACTTATTTTGACTAACATGCGATAGCACATGTAAAAAATTGAATTACGCTCTAAAAACGATTTTTTTTTAAAGTTATAAATAAAACAAAGATTATTGGACAAAGTTTTACAAGAAAATGCCATTTAATTCTTTCTACTTTAAAATTTCACATTTAATTCAATGTGTAACTTGCGCTTATTTTATAATTATTTGTGAAATATGATTTCATTTATTTTACTTTTATTTCATATTACAAATGTATATATTATAAACACACACACACATATATACTGTATATGTATACACACACACACACATTCACACACACACACACACATATACTGTATAAGGGAAACAATGTGATTTTTAAAGGTGATTTTATTATGAGGTCTCAGGGACCCAAACACAACAGCACATAAGGGTCAAGATGTCTGTTTGTAAAGTCTAGATGCTTCAAACCAGAAACATAACTAAAATGACTTCCCTGCAGTGATGTCATTGAAGGGGGAGGGGCTGCTCATCAGGTGTCCTTTTATTGGTTGGCTGCTCTTCAGTCACTCCCATGCCAACAAAGCTCTAATTGGCTATTAGGCCAAACAGATGGCGTTCATGCTAGTCATACAAAGAGGGTCTCTATCTAACCCTACCCACAAATCCCTCCTCATCTACCTGAAACTAGAATGCTTATGCTTTGTCTTTTACATAGGCTAAAACATTTTTCTGGAGACTCTTGAGTAGCAGGATATAGTCACATAGGTGTGTGTATTTATGGTGCAGGGACACTGCAATACAGTATTTTACGTTTTATTTATTTAAAGACGTATATGAAAAGACACTGGACAGGTTCTAGTATATCAAGGCTTGTTTCATAGAGATGGAAGCGGTTATAAGTGCTGGACGCACTCCACTGTTGATAATAGCTAGACGCCTGCAAAGGATTTGAGGGGAGGCGAGTGTAATTATGTGGTGATGAGCAGATGTGTGTCTTTTATTCGGATTACAGTCCCACATACTGTCCAAAAAGCTACTGATCTAATTAAGTCAGTTCTGCTCAAGCTAAGTCAAGGACAGAACATCAGGATGCATGCTTACAAGGAAGCACTGGACTGATATTTCTGGTTGACATTATGATTGGGCTTTGATCTAAAGTATTACAATTCTGCAATGAATTTAGCTGGAACTGTTTAACGTACAGTCGTTATACAACATTCAACTCTTCTATTGATATAACTTAAAGAATTAATTGAACAATCCAAATAAATGTACAATTATATTGTGCTGTGTATTATTTTAACATTTCTCAAAAGTGTAAAAACACTTCACCCAAAAATGAAAATTCTGTCCATACAATGAAAGCAAACAGGCTCCGGTGTTGTTTTGAGACCTGACTTTCATTATACAGGCAAAAAAAAGCAATTGCGGAATATCATGAGGGTGAGTAAATAATGATAGAGTTTGGGTGATCTATCCCTTTAAGTATGAAGATTTTAGTGGTTACCTTGTCATATAGGTGCCTAAATAAAATGGTTTTGTTTTTTATAAATGAAAGTATGTAGAAAGTACATATCAGTTTTACATACAGTACAAGTAAAACAGTACCCTTCAAATGTTTGGGGTCAGGATTTTATTTATTTATTTATTTTTAAGAAAGGAATTACTACTTTTATTCATCAAGGTTGTTTTACATTGATCTAAAGTGTCAGTGAAAGTGTTTACATTGTTACAAAAGATTCCAAATAAATACTGTTCCTTTGAACTTTCTGTTCATCAAAGAATCTTGAAAAAATGTTTGTTTTCAACAAAAGTTTTAAGCAGCACAAACATATCAAAATGTATAATAATAAGAAATGTTTATTGAGCAGCAAATCTGCATATTAGAATGATTTCTGAAGGATCATGCGGCATTTAAGACTGGAGTAACGATGCTGAAAATGTCCCTTTGCCATCATAAGAATAAATTACATTTGAGATTATAAAAACATTTCTCAATGTTACAGTTGTTATGAATTTTTTTTTTTAATAATAATAAAAAAATCTAAAATCAAATAAAATCTTACCGAACCCAAACTTTTGAATAAAGGTATTTATACATTTAAATAGGTTTTCAAAGCATGCTCCAGTATGGAAAAAAAGCTAATTTTCTTCAGAAAATATGATAAACACAATGCACAAAACATTTCTTCATGCCCAAAGCTAATAACATTTTCCCTTACAGGTTGCCCCTGTAATCAAAGCCAGAATGATGGAGTACGGAACGACCATGGTGAGCTATCAACCGCAGGGAGACAAGGTCAACTTCTTCCGTATGGTCATCTCCAACCCAGCTGCTACATTTGAAGACATTGACTTCCTCATTGAAGAGATTGAGCGACTGGGACAGGATCTTTAAAAACTTGAGACTCCAAAACCTGTTATTCTTGTGTCCCTGGATGGATCGAATATTTGTTGTGAATGTAACGGTAAATCATTGATTCCTCTTCTCCAAAGTCATTTAAAAGTAGTATGATTTAAAGAAGAAAAAAAAAGACAATATGAAAATATCTAGACTTTAGTATTGTAGCGTTGTTGTGGGCTTCATGGTCCAAAGCCCTGTAAAAGTATTACCGTCTGCTTTTACTGTCTATCTTAGTGTCTTTAACATGACTTTGCTTGTTTACATGTGTTTATTGAGAATATGAAGAGTTATTTGCTTCTATTCAGTGACCTCAGTTTCTATTTGAACAGTTATTCAAAGTACCAGATTACAGACTATATTATAATAGTAGAGACAAAACCACTTCATCAAACCTAAAGCTTTTAAAGACAATGTGTGACTTTTATTGATTTAACAAGATACAGGACCATAGGAAGAGTTTTTAAAACAGTTTTGACCAACTGTATTGTGTGTGGACATGAAGTTTGTACATAGTTGGAACTAATTAACGTATGTGCATAAACAAGCACAAATATAATGGTGCACTCTAAAATGATATTGACAGGAGGCTGCCGGCATTTATAGTGAACAGTAATGTTATATAAACATGTCTATACAGTAGCATATTATAAGCTACTGTAGTTCTAATATTTGACCAAATTTAATGTATAATAATAAATAAAAACAAAATTAAATAAAAAATGACCTTATAATCTCTATAAAATCTAAATATTCTTGACTAATCCTGTTCGCATTATAAAATGCTCTTTAAAATGGGAATTTCCCTTTCCCCCCTAATAACGTGCAATATTCTTTATTTCTTTACTCAGAAATTCAGATTTTCCAACTTAATACTTGGAAAAGTGCAATCGAGCGTACAGTTGGTCTTGGAAACAGTTTTGTTAGATGCTCACTTTTAAGCAAGAAAAATAAAAATGTATCAAATATTCCTTCTTTCAACAATGTACCCTGCAAAGAAACAATAGCACATATATACTATATGTAAAAAAAAAAAAAAAAAAACATGGGTTTAAATAAATTTAGCCTATGTACAGTATGTAGTAAAACACTTTTCTACATAATAGCAATATATTTCTTAATTTACCGACCCATTCATGTACTTATTTAGCTTTCTTATACAAAATTATAGATATTTCAGGGTATTAACAGAGCTAAATTTAATGTTATATATATAAATTCCAAAAAGAAAATAACACATAAGCATAATTAGGGTTCTGCCCTATGATAGTATGTAAATAGTCTTTTAAGATGTTCATGACCAAGTACATATCTATGTGAATGCATCACTGTATTGTATATAAGGCAGAGTCTATTTGTGTGGTAAATAATATTATTTTCTCTATTCAACAAATATTTAATCATAAATGGTAGATACATTCTGCTTGTGTGTGCGTGTGTGTCAGATGTGTTGAATATGATGACTTATGTAACTGCAAAGATGAAGGATTTGGCTTTAAATCCACTTTAAGCCACTGCATTTTAACATATGAACTCAAAATGATTATTATAGCACATTTCGGTGGTTGTGAGAGCCATTTCTGAACCAATGCTGGTTGTATTTGTGCCCAAGTGATAAACTTGACATCCTGTGCCGATTTGTATTTTTGTGTGTTTGTAACTGTATTGCCTTAGTATTAATTGCCAGTATTGTCTAGTTCTCCTAAAGAGGAGCTTGTGCACTTTAGCGTATATGTATGATGATCTGTCCAATGGATGTTCTTAGTTTGATGTTTTAAGAAACAGAGAGTTGTCTGAATGTGTCCCAGCTTGGACATCCATTCGAGATGAGAATTGCTTTAAAGCTGAAATATTTTGTAGACTTGCTAATGCTACATTACTGCCTGTATCCTTGCGGAACGTAATAGTCAACCCTGCTGAAAAGCACAACTGAGTCTTGTCTTAGCTGGTCTCCCAGCCTGGGGTGTTTCCCAAAAGCATCTTAGTTTGAACATAGTTTGTTGGTATCAACAACTGAGTGTTTCCCAAATCCATAGTTCCAGCAAACATTCACAAACAGCATTGCAAAATTGTGTGGTGGAACTACAGCTCTCGACCTGTAGTTAGAAGCATAGTTTCTCGTTAGTTTGACAGAAGGACTTAGATCATGTACTTGAGCAAAAATAAGCAAGTTAACACACAATCTATACCTTTCATTCCACACATAAAAAAACACCTTATTTTTACATATTTTACTTTTAATCTACACCGCTGTTTCCATTCTCGTCAAAAACGGTCTGTTGAGTTCCTGGTTCTATGAAGCCCCTCCCTCAGAAATACGCAGTGGGCTCTGATTGGTTAACAGGCTAAGTGTGTTTGTGATTCGCTAACCGCCTAGTGCACGTTGTCTGGAAACATCACGCCCCCTTCCCATTATGGGTAGTTGCGTGTTCCCGGGGGCGGGGTTTATGTAAACATCGGGGTTTGTGATGTCACAAACCCAGGAATAAGCTCGTTGTAGTCCCTACCAGCCATTTTTTGTAGTCCTTAAACAGCGATTTCTTTAAAAGAAAATATCTCCCTTTGCATTGAGCTCTGAGCGTCGTAACTTTGCAGACGTTGTTTATGCAACATTACATACTAACTAAAGTTAAAAAAGTGAAATCATAATCAACCACCCCTTTAATTTGATCGCAAACTGATTAATTGCCAGAAATGATCACTCCACCACGTGCCTGATGTCATCTACGACAGTTCTAATGTGGTTCGAAAGACGAATGTCTACGTTTCTGGGAAAAAAAGTCATTGCTAGCTAGTTTCAACAATGATGCATCATACAAAGGTGGTTAAGCGGTGAGTTATGTTCTACGGGAAATGCCCCTGGTCAGGCTGGAAGACCAACTTAAACCAGCTAATCCGGATAGCTATGAAAATTAAGCATGGTTTTATTATAGCGAAAATGTAGTGACCATGTTTTTTGGCAGATTGATTACCAATTGTATAACCACAGTTTTATTGCAATTAAAAATGGTTAATTTGTGGTTACCATTATTTAACTATATCAACCATGGTTTTTTGGTTTTATCTGTAGGTAAAACCATGGTTAATTTTCATAATGGTAAAGCTGATTTTTTAACATTTAAGGAACGCTAAGTTCGTCATTTTCGCGATATGAGTGTTCTTTCTGTCCCTTTTCAGGATCAACAAGCTGTGTCACATAGTTTGTGTATTTTAAGCTCTTGTAATCATGACAAACGCATCGACATCCTCACCATGGTAGTCTTGGAACGCCCACTGTGCCGTCTTTTCCTGCTGCTGCTACAAACCTGCTCTCTTTGCACGTGCATGAACGCCTTGCCTTCCGAGCTTGTGAAATACAATCCCAGATATTCACATATATATATATATATATATGTATGTTTAGTGCAAACTGGTGGTAGTTTTAGTGGCAATATGGATAGCTTAGCTTCAAATATAGTACACTGTCGCTAGCTTGCTCACTCTGTGTTAACATTATCCAACGTATTTATCTGCTAAGCAAGCATGTTCAGTGTGGCTAGAAGTTGTATGCTTTTGCGACTGTATCTCTATCTTTCTCCCTGTCTTTCGCTTTGGTTGTTTTCTGCAGCTTTAATATTAGCGTGTACAGTTCCTTGGCATGCCTCTATAAGCATATTCAAAGTCTCTATGTCTCTCTATCGCACTCTCTTCTTCCTGTGTCTATCTTTCTCTTGCTTTGCCCTGTAGCAGCTCGCCGACCTTTAAGAGCAGTGTTTTCTCTGCCGTTTCACGGCTACCCATCATGTTCATCAGTTTGTCGTATGAGGAACTCATGTTGTCATGAACATGACCGAACAGGGTAACACCATGTGACTGGGTGAATTCATGTTTTTTTTTTCTTTCTCACCCAACATTTCTTGAAAGTAAAGCGATTGTCTGAGGAACTGATGTTCAGATGAGTTACAAACAACTAGTGTGTTGAAATTATATAGAGAGAGGCAGATAACACCCTCTTGAAATGTGTTTTACTTTCATGGGAAACACCAATAAATGTTACTGCCAAACAACTCTGTCTGGATTTTTAATAAACAGCATTACTTGATGTGAAAGAGAATGGGCTCTTCTGACAAAGCATCCTCCCGGAATGCCGTAGAAACCATTTAGCAATGCCCTCATTTGTTATCTTTTATTTTAAAGGGTACTTATAATAATATAATAAATAATTTATATTTCATATTTTATCATTTACAATAGAAATTAAAAGATGAATTTTTAGACACTTCATTGCATGTTATTGTTTAAATGTATATTTTAAAACTTTTATTTATACTTTAGAGCCATTTTTGACCCGCCTATTAAAAATTGAGTCCATCTATTTATGCAATTTCGTAATTAATTATATTGTCTTTGAAATATTGCAATGGTTATAATGTACTGCTGAATGTACTGACAAGCAATTATGGTAAACGTTTTCATAAGTGTATTGTGTTTTTTCTTCCATGCTTTCTTTATAGTTCCAACTGAAAGTCATAAGGCATTGTCAAATGCGAACAAACAAAAAAGTTACATAAGCCATATAAAGTGAAATAGCATGTGAAGAGGGTCTTCAGTAAATATTCCAGAGCACAGGGAAATCTGGTGTTTTACAAGTGTACAGTCAGGCCTCTCATGACCATGAAACACTCACACAATGCCTGAATCTCTACCACATTACAAAACAGCACAGTACTTGACCTTCAGTACTGTCAGTATTAACAGCACTTCATAAATGCCTCCACAGAAACACTTTTGTGCCATTGAGGGGGGTATATTCAGTGTTTTTACTGCTCAATCTGCTGTCATCTTCATAGTCTATTCTTATCAGATTTTGAATCGAATAGTAGTAATAAACCAATACAAACTGCAACTGTCTATCTATCTATCTATCTATCTATCTATCTATCTATCTATCTATCTATATATATAAATATATATCTGTCTATCATATATTCTATTCAATTCAATTCAATTCAATTTGTCTGTATTGAAATCTATCTATCTATCATATATTCAATTCAAATCAATTCAATTCAATTCGACTGTATTGAAATATACCTATCTATCTATCTATCTATCTATCTATCTATCTATCTATCTATCTATCTATCTATCTATCTATCTATCTATCTATCTATCTATCTATCATATATTCAGTTAAATTCAATTAAATTCAATTCAATTAGTCTGTATTGAAATCTATCTATCTATATGTCTGTCTGTCTGTCTATCTATCTATCATATATTCTATTCAATTCAATTTGTCTGTATTGAAATCTATCTATCTATATCTATCTATATATCATATATTCTATTCTATTCAATTCAATTCAAATCAATTCAATTTGTCTGTATTGAAATCTATCTATCTATCTATCTATCTATCTATCTATCTATCTATCTATCTATCTATCTATCTATCTATCTATCTATCTATCATATATTCTATTCAATTCAAATCAATTCAATTCAAGTTGTCTGTATTGAAATCTATCTATCTATCTATCTATCTATCTATCTATCTATCTATCTATCTATCTATCTATCTATCTATCTATCTATCTATCATATATTCTATTCAATTCAAATCAATTACATTCAATTTGTCTGTATTGAAATCTATCTATCTATCTATCATATATTCTATTAAATTCAATTCAATTCAATTTGTCTGTATTGAAATCTATCTATCTATCTATCTATCTATCTATCTATCTATCTATCTATCTATCTATCTATCTATCATATATTCTATTCAATTCAATTAAAATCAATTCAATTCAATTTGTCTGTATTGAAATCTATCTATCTATCTATCATATATTCTATTAAATTAAATTCAATTCAATTCAATTTGTCAGTATTGAAATCTATCTATCTATCTATCTATCTATCTATCTATCTATCTATCTATCTATCTATCTATCTATCATATATTCTATTCAATTCAATTAAAATCAATTCAATTTGTCTGTATTGAAATCTATCTATATATATCTATCTATCTATATATCATATATTCTATTCTATTCAATTCAATTCAAATCAATTCAATTGTCTGTATTGAAATCTATCTATCTATCTAGCATATATTCTATTCAATTCAATTCAATTCAAATCAATTCAATTTGTCTGTATTGAAATCTATCTATCTATCTATCTATCTATCTATCTATCTATCTATCTATCTATCTATCTATCTATCTATCTATCTATCATATAGTATATTCTATTCAATTCAATTCAAATTTGTTTGTATTGAAATCTATCTATCTATCTATCTATCTATCTATCTATCTATCTATCTATCTATCTATCTATCTGTCTGTCTATCTATCTATCATATATTCTATTCTATTCAATTCAAATCAATTCAATTTGTCTGTACTGAAATCTATCTATCTAGCTATCTGTGTATCTATCATATATTCTATTCAATTCAATTCAAATCAATTCAATTTGTCTGTATTGAAATCTATCTATCTATCTATCTATCTATCTATCTATCTATCTATCTATCTATCTATCTATCTATCTATCTATCTATCATATATTCTATTCTATTCAATTCAATTCAAATCAATTCAATTGTCTGTTTTGAAATCTTTCTTTCTTATTAGCATATATTCTATTCTATTCAATTCAATTCAAATCAATTCAATTTGTCTGTATTGAAATCTATCTATCTATTTATCTATCTATCTGTCTATCTATCTATCTATCATATATTCAATTCAAATCAATTCAATTCAATTTGTAAATCTATCTATATATCTATCTATCTATCTATCTATCTATCTATCTATCTATCTATCTATCTATCTATCTATCTATCTATCTATCATATATACTATTCAATTCAAATCAATTCAATTCAATTTGTCTGTATTGAAATCTATCTATCTATCTATCTATCTATCTATCTATCTATCTATCTATCTATCTATCTATCTATCTATCTATCTATCATATATACTATTCAATTCAAATCAATTCAATTCAATTTGTCTGTATTGAAATCTATCTATCTATCTATCTATCTCTCTGTCACATATTCTATTAAATTCAATTCAAATCAATTCAATTCAATTTGTCTGTATTGAAATCTGTCTATCTATCTATCTATCT